CATCCACACTCACAGGCGCATCTGTGGAGTGGGTTTCAAGAAGTATGCCTGTAGGGCACTCAAAGAGATCTGGATAATTGCCATGAAGGAGATGAGAACTCCAGATGTTTGCATTGAAACCAGGCACAACAAAGCTGCCTGGGCCGAATGAATGAGAATGTCCCACGCCGTATCTGGGCGCACTTGTTCAGAAGACACAATGGGGATGAAGCTTCACCAAACAAGCTTTATACATTGGTACCCATTACCACTTATAGGTACCCATTAAACTTTATACTTATGTACCCATTACCACTTCCAAAAATATACAAACGGTTATTGTAGAACTAACTGCTGATTGTTGAATATAGTTATAAAATAGCAAAAGAAAATGTGGAGAATTTTCTTGGTGCAGTGGGTGTCTTTGAATACTTTCAAGTATAGAAGTAATATGATCCAATGTATAGCTCGCAAAGGCCACTCTGGCTGCTGCATAGACAATGAGTTAAAGGAAGTCAATGACAAGACTGCTATTGTACAATGACCTGGTAAGAAGCAATGACGGTTGTTTGCAGTAAGGTTGGAGAGAAGTGGAAGGTTTTGATAAATACCTTGCAAGTAGAATGAGTGGTACTTAATGATAGATTGGTCTGGAAGAACATAATAAAGATATCAACAATTCATGCTAGGATTCTGGTTTCATTGTGAGATTAAGGAGAATGGAAAGAAAACTCATTTGGGAGGGAAAAATTCATAGTTAAGTTTTGAGCAAATTAACTTTAAAATGCCTTTGAAACATAAAAATAGATACACCAAGAAGAGTGCTACATTCATCAGTCTCATAGAAGAGATCTGAGCTGCAGATATATATTTGGAGATCATGGGAATAAAGATGACATGTAAAGAGAGGTGTATTTTGAACTTTCTGAGAACAGGGTTAGTGCAGGTGAGACACAGGTAGACAGACTCCAGATTTCAGTGGGTTAAGAGAAGGTTGAGGTACCAGACAACAAATACAGACTGTTATTTCACGTAGCTTGAACAAAAAAGGGAGTAGAGAGATTAGGAAAAGTTTATGGGTATGTATAGGGGTAGAGTAAAGGGGTTTTGTGATGAGAAGAGTTTTAAGCTTGCTTTTAAACTGAATAAGGAGCTAGTACAGAGGGTGAGATTGAGTATCTAAGTGATCAGGGGGTGGAAGTATGTGTAAACTTGAAAGAATGAATTCTCAGAGGAGGCAGAAAGATGGAATCCTGAACACAAGGGCTAGAGTTAGGCTATAAAGAGAGTAGGGGAGCCTCTTCCTCTAAAACACAGAGCGCTAACTTAGAATGTGATGATATAAGGAAGTTTCAAAGACGATTGGTGAGCCTACTAAGAGATTTCAGGCCTGAAATGGCTTCTACTACTTTTGGTTATAGTGACAATTGACACTGCTTATGCCCAGAGGGTGAGGTCAGGGTCAAGATCTTCCTCAATGGTTGCTGCAGAAGATGGAAAAAGGCACCCAAATATTCCCTGATTGTTATCCTAAGCCCTTCTATATCTTCAGGAATCTTGTGGCTACCAAAACTTCCCATGATAGTTAGATTGATTTCAAATTCCAAATGGTCTTAATACTAAATTTCTTGATTTATTCTTCTATATGCCATTAACTGTTTTTTTATAGAATCTCAGGCCCATAAAGCTATTAATCTGCTTCAAATTTAACTAGATTTTCAAGATAACGAGGCTTTATGGCCTTTTCAATTTTACTTGATAAAATGACATTAAAGAAAAGTAAATCATCTTTAATTTTTCTCCAAGGACATATCCAAGCAAAACATTTCTTCCTCCTTGGGGTTGTGATGGAAGAGAAGACAAACTAGTCCATTTTCTGAGGTAAGTAACATTTCTACTTCATTGTTCAGAAAAGTATTATTGGTTCAATGTAACATTGGTAGAAGGTCTACTTTATCATTCGAATTTCTCAACAGACACTACAGCCTCTCATTTGTAATCACTTGAGAGCTCAATTATAGTGTTCATAAATTCAGGGAGAGCTGTTTCAGCAAATAACACAACACCTCTTTCATAGTAAAGAACTAAAATAGATGAATAACAAATTCTATATTTGTTAATAGTTAACAATGTACTGATTGTGTACTTACGCAGGAACAAGCAAAGCTCACTTAAACTCCACATTATTGCCATATGTGACTTTGTTGTTTGAAGTTATTCCTTTTAATATTTAAGATCTCTTTACATTGATGTATCTATGGTTAAAGAGGGTACACTTTTAACTAAAATATTAAAGCTAGACAATATTGTCATTTGAGGCTTTCAAAGTTTTTTCTTAGGTTAACATCAGTGGAGTCAAGGACTATTTGGTTTCCTGCATCCACAGGCTACCCCTCTCTGCAGTTGCAATCATATGATCTTTGACCTAAAACTAATTCTGCCTCAACCTCTGGGCTCTATGAACCTTTATTAGGGATAATTCAGTTAATACAGACCAGTTTTTGGTTGATTCATTATCCTCAGCTTACTTGAGAGTGGTTCCAATTGGTGCTGTACTTTTAATCATTGACGTTCTGCTCCTTGCTCACCTGTTAATCGTAGGATTCTGTCACAGTAGGATTACTTGGGTTTAGCTTCACGCTTCACCACTGTCCTTGTCATGTGGCCCTGGGTAAGTTGTTTTATTTCTATGACCCTCAGATACATCATCGCTCAAATGTTGTTAGAAATACTTATGTTACAGAGGGGTTATGTTAATGCCCAGCTTTGGTCTGGCAAGGAGAAGGCAGTTCTGTGTTTTTTCCCCTTTCTCTCAGTTTCCACCATTATAAAGTCCTCATTACACAGATTCTTACAGACCTGAATTTTTGCTTTGCTTTTGGTAATATCTTTAGGGACTAGAGTTCTGTGACCTGCTGTTGGGTCACTTTAATGATGGCCACCATCTGTCCACAATCCTCCATATTAGCTGACTTTAGGGTCCTAGTTACTCTGCCTCATCCATCTGTCCACACAGCTGACTGCATCTTACTGAATTGCCTCAGTGACCATCAGACGCCCGAGTCACAAACTATCACCTGACACCTACTTTGTGATTGTTTTGGACTATCTGGCTGTCTGTGCCTCCCCCTCCCTGCCCCACCAAAGTTATGTTTTGTTTCTGCTTCATTTATAGTTCTGTTTTAGTCATTATGTGATATGATAAATGGAGCTAAAAGTCATCTATTTTCTAAGTATGAATAAAGTAAATTGCCTGCTTAAAGAAAAATATAATTGATAATAACAGAAAAAAACTCAATATGTATTATAAAATAAAATATGCATTTTAGGAGAAAATAAATGCTGATAATTTTAGAGCTTGTTAATTTACAGCACAGAATAAATTCAATACTTGTCACCAAATTCATGAATTTTTAAAATGAATGATGTAAACCACAAGGTCTTTGAACGTGGAGAGGCTGTCATATCCTACTGCTGTCCGGCACAGGTGAAGGTACAGATTCACAGTCAGTGGAAGATGTGCCGAGGGTAAACAGCGACCCACGTAGAGAAACTGGTGTGTTAACCTCTTTCCATGCCAGTTCCAAAGGCGATAGTTTACTTGCTCAGGTCCAGTTCTGTCTTATTTATAAAATACCACTGGCCATTAAGAAATAATTGGTTTCATATTTTGTTTCTGCCTTTTGAATTTGGTTGTCATTGGCATTTAAACCAAAAGCCATCATAAATACTTTCACCTCAGAACACCCATCAATTGACTTATTTATATAATTTAAAAATCACTCTGGTGTCTAGTTTTAGTAGAGCAATGTCTGTGTCTGAATCTATGGCTACAGCCACGTTAGCATCTTTATCTATTTCTATGTTTCTATTCAGTAAAACTAGACAATTGATATAATTAATAATCAGGCAATTGGGAGTACATTTACTCTTTATTTTTTATTTTCTTAAAATATTTTATTTATTTATCTTAAGAGGGGAAGGGAAGGAGAGAGGGAGAAATATCAATGTGTGGTTGCCTCTCATGCGTCCTCTGCCGGGAACTGGCCTGCAACCCAGGCATGTGCCCTGACTGGGAATCGAACTGTGATCCTTTGGTTCACAGGCCTGCACTCAATCCACTGAGCTACGCCAGCCAGGGCCATTTACTCTTTAATAATACTATGAAGTCATCTGAATTCCCATCCCCCCCTTTTTTTTTAACTGTTTTGATGTTTAAATTTGGGAAGTGTTTTAGATAGTTTAAATAAATCTGTCTATTGTTTGCGTTATATTAGATGGTATTGCAATGTTCTGAATTAGCTACTGCACCTTTCTGTTTCCCTTAAAAATCAGAAAATGACCTGGGCCTGGTATTCAAAATAAATGGGCTCAACTGTCTGCTTGTTGATGTCTGTGAAACAGTGAAACAAAGATAATCAATCAGGTTAAATCTTAGCAACTCAACTACTCAAATTGTTAAGAAAGCAATCAGGTAAAAACTTCCCAAGAGGACAAACCAAAGAGTCACTAGACTCTTTCAGGTCAGAGTCACTAGACCTGAAACACATCGAGTCTTTGACCCAATGCACAAGCCTCATGAAGGTTTGTTCTTCCTATGAAGAAAGACAAAAGCACACGAGACTACCGTAGTGTTTTGCTAAAAGATAACAACTTATAATCCTTCAAGTCGACAGACTAAATAAAAAACAATCTCACAAAGTTTTCACATATCAAAATGTTTTTCCTCTCTTGTTAACGCATCTTGGGTATTAGAACACTTTGGGAGAGGCTCCACTCTGATGAGAAAACATGAGTTCATAAATCATCCAGCCAAACTAAGTAGACTTTTCCTAATGGTTCAAAAATCTAACAACATTGAAATGACCCTGGAGCCACCAATAACAGGGAGAAAGTCACTAGCCTGGGAAACCCTTAAAAAGCTGGTAGCATAGTATAGCTGAAAAGATCCTAGTACCAATTAGCGCAAGGTTGAATTTAGCAACCCCCCTTTTTCTCATTCCCCTGTCCAAGCAACTCACAGCTTTCAATCTCCAGGGTGCAGTTTTGTTCATCCAGAGGGTATCTTCGCAGGTCCATCATACACGCAGCTGTGGTTGTGATGCTGTCAGGAGAGAGAGAAAAGACAGCATCATGAAAGATAGCATCAGAAAAGGATGATGGCTTCCATTTCCAGGCTTTCCGGTCCTGAATCACGTTTACCAGGGTTTATAAACATTGTGTGGTTAAAAATTTTGAAGGCCGGCAGATTGAATTGGAGTCTTTCTTTGCTACTGACTAGTGGTGTGAGCGTGGGCTATTTAATTTATCTCCATGAGCCTCTGACCCCACTTTATCTTCTGGGGGGCGGTGCTTTTTAGACGGCAGCCTCCCTGTTTTGACCATGCTTGTCTGTGTTAACAATACTTCTCGGAATTGGTTTTACAGTGAATAATAAGCTGTCTTAAGTTTTTTACTGCAGTGTATTCAGTTGTGTGAAATACCATAATTTATTTTCCCAGTCACCCTTCAATGGACATTTACATTGTTTCTTGTCTTTTATTTTTACAAATGAAGATGCTCTGAATACACTGGCACACCTTACTATGTATCATAACACCTGTGGGCTATCTCTACACAGGAAATGGCTAGGAAAAGGGTAAATGCATTTTAGCCTTTGCCACACTGCCCTTGGGAGAGGTTGTGCCAATTTATACTCCCAACAACAGTGTATCTAAATTTGACAAAGTACTCTTCTTTCCTATGTTTCTGAGGCTGCCCAGGTGAGTTATTATTTTGGTCATGTGTGTTAACCTAACAGGAACCTTCTCCTTAAAAACATCATTACAAAAGCCCTAGTCTTTATCAAGTTCTCTGTGGATTTCCTCATGGAAAATGAACGTTCACAGGATGAGCACTGGGACATTCCCTTTGAAGCCTTTCTCAGACAGGATGTTGGTCAGTTGAATCAGATGTATTTGAGCATAGGCAAGAGCAGAAAATAAATTTCAAGCTTCATTTAAAACATTTCTTCAAAGTGTTTTTAAAAAATTTAAAGACTAATTGTATTCCAAAAGTCAGCACATAACATGATTTTACTAGATTCCTTTTTGCTTTCTGCTGTCATAGTTACATGAATTGATTAATTTTTTCACTTAAAATAATCTGCATATCTTTTGTTTTCTGAAAATACAATTGTACAACATTATTTTTATGGCTTGCATGGTATTTCAAACACTCTTAATAAGGCAATACAATACATATTTGAAAACACTTTAGAAATTACCCACTTTACTACAGCGTTTGTTCAACAGCTGTGTCTGAATAGAAACTCTGAAGAAGTGAACATGATCTGTGAATTCCTAAAGTGTGGCCAGTCCTGTGATGCCACGACTGTGGCAGTGGGTAATTTTCCCCACAGGGGACGTTCGGCAATGTCTGTAGGCATGTTCTGATACTGGTGGTGGAGACTTGATGCTCACATCCAGTTGCTGGAGGCCAGGGATACCGCTAAACACACTGCGAGGACCAGGCAAGCCCCCAAGGATAAGTAATTGTGTTTCAAAATGTCAGAGTGTCAAGGCTGAGAAACTTGGCTCTAATGGTAGTTTTTTTTTCTTTGAGAAAACCATTAATGAAACAAATCTTACACAGAAGCTCAATATATGAAATACAAATGAAATAAGAACAAAACAGTATTTTGTTAATATAAAATTACCTTATAAGTTCAAATGTTGATATGTAGTTTAATGAGCATACAAATTGAAAGCAGGGATTATAATCAGGGAGTTAAATCTCCCTCAGCGGCAATAATTTTCTGTTGTATCTTACTCGTATAGTACTGAGAAGAACATTAATAGTAAAACATTTGTTTCTAAACATCTTACATAACCAGCCATAGGCTACCCTGAATTAGATGAAGAACAAAACCTGTGTGTCAAGTAACCACCTCCATGATTAATGACACCTTTACAAATGGTTCATATACATTCATTGGTAGTTGATCTCTGGTATGTGCTTAATGATGGATTAATAGGAAGCTTGACTTCCTTCAAACTAAAAATGCTCCATGATCTGCATAAATTAACCTGGCTGCATAAGTTAATATTGTGGTGATCTTGAATACATGAAAATGTACATAGGATACAACACAGTATATTTGTTTCTTATTATAATTTTAAATAATGATACTATTTTAACCCAAAATTAGAATTAAATATTATTTGGACTATTAAAGAGCTTTAGAGATACTTGAGAATATCACTGAATCCCACTGGTCGGCATATTTCACTTAATTGACCTCACCTTTTCAGACATGTGACATCTGGTTAGCTAAGCACATCATATCGTAATCAGGACACACATTGAAATCTTACACTGAACTACTAACTCATACATTGTGGGGCTCTGGAGTTTTTACAGAGCAATTTGAAGAGCTAACAAAGCCTTGTGTGTAAATGAATAACTAATGTCTCATGTGTATGGGTCCTACAGTTGTGAGTAATGAAAAAGAAAACAACTTTGGAAAGCATCACTGAACTTACTATTGTTATTTGTTATGATCAATCCATTCAGCAATCAGTAGATCTAAGAAACTTAGTTGATATTACCTTGGGAAACCACCCATCACAGAAGAGGCTTGCCCATGACTTGATATTTTTTCAACGATGATCTACTGGTCCAGTTAAGTTGTCTTGTCTCAAATCCCATCATAATACCCAGAAACGCTGAGTAATTGCAACTCAGAAAGGGAGGGAATCAAGGCAGTTCCAGGAAATTGTAGGAAGTGCTTGACTTCCTCTGGAAAGCACTGATACTAGTTCAGTGAAACAGCTTCTGTCTTGGCATCGATCTGCTCCAACTTTCCATTTCCCCAGAGTATTTCATTGGCCCAACTTGGATTAGGTGCCAACTCTCTCAAAATTATGTAGCAAGGGCTGGAAGGAAAGCCACAGACTTATAAATATGGCCCCCAGAGTCTCACAAGGGTCCTGAGAAGGGAGGGATCACTGGGGTTCAGACAGGATCCCCTATATAAGCAGGTGCTCATAAATCTGTGTTGTAGCCTGTGGAAATTTATACAACAGAGTGTCAGTCTCTGCTAATTTAAGTGTGTGGCATTTCTGGACTTTGTAATGCTTATGGCCGAGTGAGCTGAATGTATTGAGCTCTTTATGAGGAAAAAAAATGCTCAGAAAGAATCCCAGGGTCATTAGCAAACAGTGAGATGTTCCTGAATGTCTCTTGTGTCTTCTGGGTGAGAGGCAGCAGTGAACATCTCGAAGAAGGACTGCTGTCTCCCTGTTTTTCCATTTGTTCACCTGGCTGAATTAATTGCTCAGCCACAGTCAGTCACCTATGCAATTAATTGACAGATCCATATGGAAATGTACTCACATTGAGGCTGGACCAGCTTGATGCTCTAAGTCTATGGAATCCAAGGTGTTAAAGATCCCAAAACTGGATAAGTTGAGAGCTTTAAAATTGAAGGGTTTTTTGATTTTTTTTTGCAACTTTTCACACTCAAGCATTAACTGACTTTTTCTGAACATAGAATTCCCAGGGGTACAGATTTATGATAGCATAACATTCATCTGTCTTCTTTCAAAGACATTTAGAATGGCTTACATTATAATCCAATTTATTGACATTTTGAAGGTTAGGTCAGAACACTATAATAGGCTGTTAGAAACTATGGTCCCATGATACTGGAGAATGAACAAAATCATATTGCTGTAGTATTCATTTATGAAGGTGTATTCTGCATGGTCACTGACTTGAAGAGTCACACTAATTACAAATCATGTATATTTGATGTCTAAGGGGAGCATGACCCTCACTGCTGACAAAACAGGATCCCAGAGGTTCTGGCCCATAGCAGCTTAAAATCTAGACACACACACACACACACACACACACATTCAAACATGAACATATAAAGAGCACTTTGCAAATAAGAATGGGAACTTAAATAAATGAACAAATTATATGCATATACTTGAGATTTTAATTTTATAAGGATAAGCGTTTAGGTTTTACACCTGATCTCTGTAGAACATAACTATAAAAACTTAATAGAATCTATATTAAAAGGATATGAGAACAGGAAGGGAAAAAAAGCTTGAATACGCTGAATTCTAATCACACTACTTAGACTGGTGTGATTGGTAGTGAGTAACAATGATAAGATTGACATCAGCACTACTTAGTAAAGTTCTTTCAGAGAATATCTTCTTCGGCCTTGAGGCTGCACCCTTAATCCATGTGAGGTCTATCACCGAGAGAGACTGATGAGAAAAGATGGATGGGTTAGCCTAAGTCACCATTAAAGAGTACATAGATTTTTTTCTCCTTAGCCAGCATTTACTAAGTGGTGTAAAGACTGTGTATTATCTTTATAATTGCCATCAAATTTTATTCTAGGTAGGCTACTATGTTTAAGAAAATACCTTGGTATTTGCAGGTGAAATCCTGAGAGCACAAGACAAAAATGATAAGAAAACCAAAGAAGATAAACTGCTGTGTGAGATTTAAGAGGAATGTAGGTACAAGTAGCAAAATAATGGAATAGAGAAAAAATTAAGAGCAGTGATACTATAAATTCAATTTTAGGATTTTTGCAATGCTATGATAATAAATTTTTTTCTGTTTACTTAAAGCAAGCCTCCCACCCTGAGTAAATGCTTGTAAAATATTTTATTTATATTCTTGGAAAGGGGTTGCATTCATATTCTGGCGGCATTCACTGAACAGTATTTTATACAATGAATCAATTCAGCAAAAACTGAGTTCTGATTCCAGTTCAGAACTTCAAGCCAGAGATGGCCAAATTGCGCTCGCCTTTTCCATTTCCTTTCCTTTCCCATCTTCCAGAGGCTGCTTGCATTCCTTGGCTCATGCCCCTTTCTTCCATCCTCAAAGAACATCACCCCAATGACTGCTTCTGTCCTCACTTCTCTTCACCCTCTAACTCTCCTGCCTTCTTTATATATGAACATGTGTGATTACATTGGGCCCATCTCGATAATCTCATTTCAAAATTCCTAATTTAATCACATATACAGAGTCCCTTTTGTATGTCTATATGAATGGTGACATGTTCATAGGTCTCAAGAATTCGAACAT